CATCCCTCCGACCCGCACCCGGAGAGACTCACCGTGGCCTCTCAGCAGATCCCGCGCCGGGAGTTGGGCGGCTGCTCCCGCCTGCTCTCGGTCAAGCTTCGCCACTTGCTCATCTCCGCGCCCCGCGCGTTTCGGAGCTCTCCCCTCACCCCGCCTCCCGCCTCGCCGCTGCAGGACCAGCGAGAGGAGCAGTTCTCTGGGTGACCTGAAGGTTTCCGCTAGGTCTCCCCGATCCTGTCACATCATGCGTGGGGGACGTGTGTGTGTGTGTGTGAGAACACCCCCCCCCCCGCCACGTGCCCCACCTCACCCTTCCCAAAAGGGCTTTGCCAAACATTCTTGGAATTGCTTAGCTTCGGGGATTTCAAGAAAACAATACATTGCCTCTTGGAGATTCTGGAGTGCAGATGATGGTTCTATTTCTTTTCATATTGGACTTTCTTTTTCTCACATTCTTCTTTCGCTCTCTTTCTTGCTCCTTTTCCTCCCTCTATCCAAGCTTCCTTCCTTTCTCATTTTTCCTTTATTTTCCCTCTTCCTTTTTTTTCTTTCTCTTCTTTGCCTCTCCCCTTCCCCACCCCACCCCCCATCTCCTTCCCTCTCCCCTCTTTCCTTCTCGTCTCTTTTTTCTTCTCCTCCTTTCTTTTCCTTGGTCAGACCAGTATGATGTCAAGAGCTACATTCTGTACTGAAACTCCACTCCCACCTTCTGACTCTAGGGAATCTTGTAATGAGTGTACCTGAGGGCTTGGGGATGGGGAATGAGAGTCAGAGGAAAATAAGCTGAAGTGTATCTGCTCTATCTACTAAAATTAGCTGCAGTGTGTCTGAACCCTTGACACTTTAATGCAGCCTAGCACACCGTTTCCAGTAATTCCTTCTCAAGTAATTACTTGTGATTCCTTCTCTAGGGGGGGGGAAAAACTTTTAGCACAAGGGCTATTCCTTTATAAAAGCTGTCTTAAACAGCTATGCGGCAAGGAGCTCAGAACTGAAACTCCTCTGATTTTTTTTGCTTCCCTAAATTTTAGTACAATTATTCAATGTCTAGTATATAAGTAGGTTTAATGCGATCCTTTTCCTCCTTTGAATCACATATAATTGCAAATATATCTATATGCGCGCGCGCACACACACACACACACACACACACACACACACACACACACAGGTGGGTTATCCTGAACCTGCAATTATCTATTTTTAACAACAAAATGACTCACTGCTTCTGAGAAGAGACCCTTTGCACTGATAAATTTTATACTCTTTCCATGGTAGAGAAAGCTGAAAAGGAGTAAAATTGATACTTGCTAATGAAATAGTAAATGGAACGCAATGGAGAGACATTAAAAGAAGTTAAAGCAAGTATTAAATTAGATTAATATAGAGAAGTCTAATATATAGACTTTAAAAGTATTCTCTCTACATCTCTATGCTTTACTCTTTCTTGGTGCGTGTTGCAGACACTGCTTAATCATCATAGCAATCCTAAAATATGGGTGTAATTACCACACAAAAGAGCATAAGGAGCTTGGCTAAGTTAAAAACACTGGTAAGTGTCTCAACTGGAATTCGAACCCAGTTCATTTTGATTCAAATACTGAGTTACTATTATCCTCATTTTATAGAAAGGATTTAAGCATAGAAAGGTGATTTACTAAAATACATTCTGTGAGAAATCTAGACTTCTAACATTCCAGTACTTAATTTTTATTACCCTTCAACTAAATTACCAAAATGTTATTTTAAACTTACTTAATCGACAATGAATTATAATAAACTAGAAAAGTCTTCTTTCTTTCTTTTTTCTTCCCCCATGTAGCCAGTCCTCAGTTTCTTCATAAGGAGGCCTGTGCATTAAAAATTTAATACATTTCTTCTGATTAACATAATAATGAATGTTGGTGGTGGGGGTGAATGCCTAGGCCAGAATAATTACTAAATTTGCATATCAACAGGAAATGCAATAAACTCAAATGCCTGGTGTTAACATTTCAATTTAAACTTTTCAAGCTAGGTTCTGTTTTCCAATTTGCACAAAAATTTTAACCAGAAAAAGTTCCTTTGAAAGGTAACAATATATTCTTGCAGTTCAGGAATACCTTATTATCAGGAGAAAATAAGATGGTTTGATTTATTTGTAGTGCCTCTATACTTAGAGCTGAAAGTTGAAAACAAAGATAATTTATTTAAATTTTCTTAAATTAAAGATTCGTTAATGAAAACTTTTAGGCTATTTAGTTATGAGTTCTGTAGACCCCAAAGAAGAAAAATTCATTTGGCATGAACCCTGAGAAGGAATTTATCTGCTGAGATGGATTCTCCATGGTCAATGGAGGGCTGAAATTTTATGGATAATAAGAGCCTACTGGCCATTTACTGACCGGCTCCTCACTTACTCGATATACTGGGAAACACCTCAGACTGAACTCTTGGCTTCTAGCACTGTGCCCCACTTGCATATGGTAAGAAAGCCACTGCAGGGAAACCCTGGTTTTGTCTTTTGACCAATGGACTGAGGCTTGCCCTGTCCAGTCAGAACTATGCAAATTATATCTTCATTTGCATCAATATCGACCAATCGGAACTGCACAATTTAGACCTATCAGAACTGTAAAATTTGAAAGCCTCATTTACATGAAACAGACAAAAATGGGAATTGGGGACAGGAAAATTCTCTATAAAAAGTGACTTCCCTTTTGCCTCAGCGGAGCACAATTAAGGTTGCAACCTGAATCTGTGTCTCCTAGGCTGCAACTCTTTTCACGCAAATAAATGCTTTTATTCCTTATTACAGTCTAAAATTAATTTTGGCTTACAGCTTTATCTTGTTGCAAGAGAAAAAAACTCTGCGGGGAGATGATTCAAAGAATTACTTTTAGTGAGGGTATTTTACAGGGGAAAAATGGATATACAGTATACAGAAGAACTAAAAAGTGCATAAAGTTAATTTTAGACTCTGACTTCCAGCTGAAGTCTTAATCTCATTGAAGTTGACCAGAAATTTAAAGGTTTCATCAAGAATGCTAAATCTCTTTCTAGAAGAAGGTTATGCAAGTTTGAGAAGGTTTTTTTTTTGTTTTGTTTTGTTTTTTAACAGATTAAATAAAGAGCCCCTGGTAAGGAAACTGAGAAAACTGAGAAAACTGTGATTGTCCAAGTCATACAGGTTTTTCTGAGTTGCAGGGATGGAGAATAAAATAGTCCTCTTGGCTGTCACGCATTAATTATTAAGAGTGGAATGCATTGGTTATGGCAAGATGAAGAGAAGATACTTAAACGCTGTCTTTGTATGCAACACGTACAAATGCCTGATAAAGTATTTTTCAAAGGCTCTTTAAACGCACCAATGACCCAGCAAGAAAGTGAAGGAAAACCTTAGAAATCCTAAACATGAGAAGCCAAGAATCCAGAAAGATACACGAGTGCTGAAGATGGCACTGCCCTTGGGCATCTACCCATCTCAGGAGGCCTCACCAAACCTAGGTGACCTAGAACTTCAATTTTCACAGGACTTGTAAATGCCAGGGACTTTTTACAAAGCTTAGTACAAAGCAAGGTGAAAAGTCAGATCAGAGATTCCTACATAAATTTGAGACCACCGAAAAGAAACATCTGCAGTGAAAAGGTGAACTAAAAAAAAGAAAGAACGAAACTCAAACCCCATTCCCACTCCCTCCGTACTGTTACCAGAACTCTGAAATGTTAGGTAACTAGTCAGACATGAGCGACGGGGGAACAAAGGAATAGTGGTCCAGCCTAGAGACTGCCCAAAGAACACCCTTTTGGCAGTTAGAGAACCCCTCCTGCATCCCTACAGACAAAGGAAAGGTGGGTCATAGTCTTAGCTCGCCTAATCTGGCCACAGATGCCTACACAAAAGATCATTATAATACTATGTTTATGCCTGAAGTTCATGAATCTAATTATAGCAAACTAAATTCTGGGTAAGCACATGTGCACTAGGCAAAGTTATATAGCAGCCAGGTTTCAATCAAAATGACCTCACTTGCTAATCAGCTAGGAATGCCTTTGTAACTACCCCATCGCTGCATCGCTGCCCCTAAATATAACACAGCCCTCTCCCTCCCCGGAGGTTACAGCTTTCCATCTGCCTTGGCTGTAACCCGTACCTTGCTTAGGGATACATAACCTCATTTCCACGTAGCTAGTTGGTTTAGGCTTGACCTGTCTTCTACCTCATACTGTGCTTTTAAGAAACGAATATTTCTCATATTCGCTGAGTCGAAATTTATTTCTTTGGCAGTGAAAAGGACTTAGAGTTGTGTTATCGGAACTCTGATCGCTCCAACGGTAACAGTTTTTTCTGGTGCCGTGAACTTGGGACAGTACCCCACACCTCATCACCGCCCCCCCACACACACACCTCTACCAACATAAAGATATTTGCTTTTTTCTGACTTGACTCAGACAGGTTAAAGGTATACCAAAAAGCTTCTGGTGAAAATTCATGATCAAGCCAGACTTCTGATGTTTTTTTTTTTTTCTAGGATGCAGGATTTATGCTAATTGTATAGCCTGAAAATTCCCAAGATAAAAATAGTAAAGTGATCCCAGCTAGATTATGCCAAACAAAAATGGAGAGAATTATTACCACCTAACTCTCACTAAAGGAATATCTTGAGAATGAA